TGAATGCCACCAGCTGTCAAATACTGCAGTTTAAACTTGAACAAACTCTTAACTTAGAAATAAAGCTGGACTAATGATAATTGGTATGAAACTTTATATACAATCATAGTTTTCTCTTTTTGACCATCAGATCCAATTACCGCTATGTATTTTTCCTTACATCTTACTTTCTACAACTAATCTTTTTGCCATATTTATTTATTTTAGGAAAAGCTGTTTCTCGTGATGGATTTCCTGAAATAAAGGATTCTTCCCTTGTGGTTTGCTTTGGGGAAATGTTGATAGATTTTGTCCCAACTATCAGTGGGCTTTCATTGGCAGATGCTCCTGCATTTAAAAAGGCTCCTGGAGGTGCACCTGCTAATGTTGCTGTTGGCATAGCACGTCTTGGTGGCTCATCAGCTTTTATTGGGAAGGTACCATTTTAAATGTGTTCATTCATTTTTGTTTGTTATATAGGTTGTAAAGATTGAGATGGTGCCCAGTTCTGTCTGTTGGATTTTTAGTTTTATAAACATTGTTATTCTTTCTAATGAATCTTCATCTTCAATGTGAGTTTATATTATCAGGATTCTAGGATCATGTAAAAAAAAAAAACTTTTGTTGTTGGTCTTTGCATAAAATATCTCCTATATATGTATTGTTCTTGTTTATCAAGTATGATATCAACATGTCTCATTCACACTTACATTTCCTAGGTCAGTATCGAAATTTCTCATCTGAAGTGTGCTCAGCTTATTAATATTACCTCTCATACTATGAAATTTGGCTGCTCTATTTTGTTAACATCATTCTCCCCTATGAGTTCTCTGATTCATTATTAAGTTGGACAGCATAGCCTTGAGAAATGTTAATGCCACTTTAGAAATTTATGTATTGTAAATTTCAAAAATTTTTACGGCAAGTTTGTCATACTAACCTCTTTTGCATTGAGTTTTTAGTCTTTCACAATATTATTTTCTTCCAACATTATGCTCATGTAGTTGTCTTCTGCCAAATCATTTCTGATAAGAATGTTAATATGAAGGTTTGAGAATATCATTACTCCAGACATGTAAAAGTTGCACCCTAATCATAAAAATAAATGGTGACTCAGAGGATGCCATCATCTGTATAAAGTTGAGTAAGGACTTGTTTCTTTTTCTGAGTGGAGGTTAAATCTCCAATCCACTAGCATGAACCAGCTTTGAGCTTTGAAGTTTTGACATTACTTATTCTTTCACTTTAACGAAAACCACATTCCTTCTACTTAATCTTTTTCTGGCAAAACAATTGATAATTATGTAGGTTCTAAATTTGACAACATTCGTAATTCATTTAGTATTTTATAGCAGTTCAATAAGTATGGGTACATTTAGATATGCTGTTATGTATTTATCTAAACAGATGAAAATAAAAAATGAAATTTTTTTTTGCATTTGTATTTTTTCTTAGCTTTGATGTATTATGTGATGTGGACAGGTTGGTGAAGATGAATTTGGATACATGCTTGCTGACATATTAAAGGAAAATAATGTCAACAATGAAGGGATGCGATTTGATCCTGGTGCACGAACTGCTTTGGCATTTGTAACACTAAGGAATGATGGGGAACGTGAGTTCATGTTTTATCGTAATCCTAGTGCCGATATGTTGCTCCAAGAAAATGAACTGGATTTTGATTTGATTAGAAAGGTATAATACCTCTATGATTGTTAATTAAACAAAAGTAAAACACAGCGACAAGATAGAAGCAAACAAATAGTATCAAAGATCCTCTAAATGTAATAGTTATAGAGTGAGAAATTGCTTGCATATGGTATTTGGAGTTATGGAGTGACTTTCATGCTGTTGCTTAGTTTTTCAACTACACAAACTTTCAAAAGGATCTCAATTTTGAACCTTTTTATTAGGTCATATCAGTCAACATTTTTTTACGTGAAACATGTTTTCATTTCAAATAGTTCTCTGGTTGTCAATACCATTGCATCTTCCTTTCATTTTCCTTATCATTTTTTTAGCTTTAAAATTCTTCGTGTTGGGCTGGTATTATTTTTGTTAGACACTGCTGCACTGGCAAGGTGTTGGTGCCTGTATAATTGCTGTATAGGTCCCATCCTTTTTAGCAAATTGGTTTCTGTTTCCTTTCATAAGCTTCTGATTTATGTGGCTCGAACATATATCTTCATCTTTTGGCAGGCAGCAATTTTTCATTATGGTTCTATAAGTCTTATTACAGAACCAAGCAAGTCAGCTCACATTGCTGCAGCAAAAGCTGCAAAGGATGCAGGTGTTATTCTGTCCTATGATCCCAACCTTAGGCTTCCATTGTGGCCTACTGCAGAGAGTGCCAGGGAAGGAATTCTGAGCATTTGGGATACTGCTGATATTATCAAGGTAGTGACCTTATCGAACAGATTATTTAAACAGAGCTAGAGTTCGATGCACAAAGTAAAAGGAAGACTGTATCTGTATTGATGATCTCAATTAATGAGTTAAGTGAATTTCAGATAAATGAAGAAGAGATTTCTTTTCTAACACAAGGAGAAGATCCATATGATGATGCTGTTGTCCGTAAATTATTCCACCCAAATCTAAAATTGCTTCTAGTTACAGAGGGCCCACATGGTTGCCGTTATTACACTCAGGTAAGCTCTCTAAATATTTTTCTATGACATTTTTCCCTCCGCGTGTAAGTTATTTGGATGTCTGGACTCATCAAAACAGTGGTGGCTGGAACCGCCATTTTAGATAAGGGATGACAATGGGTGGAGAGAGGCAGTTTTTTGCATGCATGACACAGACCAGGCCTGATGCTTTGAGAATTGGTCCATGAACCTGAACCAAACCCCGAAGATCAGGTTATCATTTTCCAAAAATCCGTCCATGCCCTGAGAGAAAAAAAATCTTGTATCATTCTGAAACATATATTATTTTTTATTTTTATATTTCCCATGAAATCGTTTATGCTTCTGATAGAAACTACATTTTAATGCATTTTATTGTTAAATAACAAAACTATGTGATATAATGCATATATGTAGATAACTAAACAAAAAGTAATATTATTATATTTTTTAATATACAGGAGATTAGGGCAACCTAAACACACCCCTGATCCAAACCTGATTTTACATTTGGAAAGCCCTACTTACCCCCACCCTGACCCATTTTTCAAACAAAAGAAACTGGCTCAACCAGGGTGAGGTGGTGAAAAAATTTTTAGGGGCACGCTTTATGCCCATCCCTATTCTAGATTCTTGCTTTTCTAACTCGACAAAAAACAATTAGAATTTATGTAAAAGATAATTACTTCGAAGATTCTAGGAGATATGCTTGGATATCTGTGGTCTGATGATGCAGAGTTTTGGAGCTTTGAGCACCATGAAAACGAGCTTGATGATCAAGCACTCTTCATCTGATAATTGAATCTCTTACAAAGAGACTTATTCATCTTGTTAAGTTCCCGCAGTTAATTGGACTTGGACATATGTGGCAGTATTTCTTATGTTGCCTAACAACCATGGTCTCATGGAATACTTGTTCCAGGACTTTCGAGAATCTGGTATCTGAGGCTTAAAAAGCATTGACAGCTATAAAAGAACAATTTTTTTGCATTTGCTCTACTGTCAATTTGCATTTTGAGGATCCTCAAGTATATTCAATATGTTAGTGGGCTGTCCTTAAAAACATCCGCAATAGCTTAAAGCAGTCCATAATGTTAACTTTATTATCAGGTGTTCTTTGGGTTTGGCTAATCTAATTTCTGTACAAATTACAATTTACGAGAACAAGCGCTCTATTTTATGGTGAATTTGAAAATGAGACATGGATCATATTTTCCAGGAATTCAGTGGGAGAGTCAAGGGCTTTAAGGTAGAAGCTGTAGACACCACTGGTGCTGGGGATGCTTTTGTAGCTGGAACATTAGCACAACTAGCTTCTGATCTTTCCTTGCTTCAGGTATTTGCCATTTCTACTAGGAACACTTAAATTTAATGAGCACTATGATATTAATAATCTATAATAACCTATTTATCCTAATGAAATATTTGTTCTTTTTTATGTTTTCCACTCAGCCATTTGAACTTTGAATTTGCCCTTATTGATACCAATTTGGTTGTCTTAGTTAAGTCCACATTTAGTACAGGGTTTGCAAAATTGGGTCTTCAAACTCTATTTTATTCAACAAAATAAGTGTAGTTGCTACTTCTATTCAATGTTTTTCTTCTCATAGGGATGTGTCGAGATTTATATTCATCCAAAATTTGTCTCGGCAGCATGTTAATAGCTGAAGCTGACATGGATTAAAGCCCCATTAATGAATCAATACTGTAAACTTATGTACTCCTTTTCTGTCCATATGGAACTTTGGCCATCTAGCATACCACTGATGATTCATGTCTGCACTTGTGTTCTCTTTTTCCTGTCTTCTTGCCTCCCTCAATTTCTTTTAAATCTTTCCTTAAATTTGTCTTCACTTAATCCAGCTTGTCATACCCAAACACACTAATTATGTATCCTAGTCTATGCCTGGATTTGTATGATCTGCAGAAGCTGTTGTCCCTCTTTCTTCTTGTGTCGAGTCAAAAAGAAAAAAAAAATTGTGAATTAAGTTTCATTGATTTATGAATGTAAAGTTCGTAAGGACCAGTGTGTTTGAAATAATTTCAAGAACAAAGAACTTCATGATTTCACAGATCAAATGCAATTTAACAAAAATTCCAAATGATGGGAGTATAAGCACACTATCAACAATGTGTCAATGTCAAATTCTAGAGACATACAGCATCCAAATACCTCTTCCTTTTTCAAATTTTTGGGTCAGAAATGCTTTGAAATACAGATGTAATTGAAAGCTGTCCTCTCATTTAAGATTAGGAACTACAACTACAAACATAAATATCAAATTTGTGTTCAACAAACAAATTATAATGGGGCATTTGGCTGGAGGGGTTGTGAAGGTAGAAGAAATGGAAGAATACATTTGATTTGAAGTTGGTACCATGAAGAATACAGTATGCATCAACTGTCAAGATTGCATTATATTTGTTGAAGAAAATGCTGAAACACATATATACGTACTATTGTCAACCTATAAGCTTGAAAGCTGCTTCCAGTGTGTGTTATTCACTTCATGCTAGGTTTGTTGAACTTATACTAAAATCAGCCTAAAAAGAGTGATGCATAATTTTCAAATACATAATTCACTTACAGTGTCAAATACCTAGTTCTGTTGTTGGTAAAGAATTTACAACTACATTATTGCTGTTTGTCTTTTCTGATAGTTTACATTTTATTTCCACGCATAATGTTTCCTTGAATGATTCATGAGTCAGAGTTTGGATATTGTGAGCTAGAATTCTGTTATTCTTTCCTCATTAACTGCAGTGTCAAATATAAATCAAGTTGTAGGGTTTCGGTTTAATCTTGCAGGATGAGGACCGATTGAGAGATGTTTTCAAGTTTGCTAATGTTTGCGGTGCATTGACCGTGACGGAAAGAGGTGCAATCCCTGCCTTGCCAACTAAAGAAGCTGTTCTTGATGCTATTCTCAAATCTGTAGCATAGGTATTCTTCGCAGCCTCTGTAACAAGGTGACTTTCAAGTTCCGTGCCTGTATCTCTTTTGGCAGCTAGGACTCAATCGGAATGACGTTCATAAAATGGTCTGCATATGCCCTAGTAATAATCTATGATCGTTGTTACCTTGATCCGTGAGCTTAAAATTGCTCCAATCTTCCATAATATGCAAGCCTCTTGCATCAGATAATAATTCTGTGAACAGATATGCTGAGGAACAATATCATTAAAATTACTCAATGGTTGGTGATTTTGTATTCTCTTTGTCCCACATTGTAGTATTTGACAGTGGTTCCTGTTTAAAGCAGTCTTGAACTCTGAAGCATGCATAATACTCAAATTGGTTTAGTGAATGGATGATCAAAGGCTTTTTTGCCCATCCATTTTAAAGGATAGAGCAATTCCTGAAATCCCAAATTCATAGGGTCAGTTAAGTCTACTTATGAGTTATTCAAGTTTGATTTGAACAGTATCTGGATTTAACTCATTCATTGCTAAGTTTGAATATTCACGCTAGAGCTTGATTATCAAACCTAGCGAATGCCTTAGTAGTTTGGTTGTTTTATTCATTTATTCTGAGTTCAATTTGAGTTTGAAAAATTAAACTCAGATGAGTTTGAGGCAATGTCAAAGTTTTGTGAGTTAGTCGAGTCGAACTTGAGCTTTTAGTGACAATTTGTCTCAAACTCTTGATTATGGTTCTCAAAAAATGCATAACGTTTTCTGGATTTTATATGCAATGCTTTTGCTTATTTCAAATGGGAGCTGTAACATTGTAGCATGCTCAATATTTGCACATATAATCACCATTCGATGAAACTTTTGATTTATTTTAGTTATTTGAGAAGAGAAGGTTTTTCATTGTGAAATTCTAATTGATCCAATTGATTTAAGCAAGCTGAAGAAGAATCAAATTGTCTAATGATGAGATTAAATTTAAACAAAGTCTAAAGATTAGGAGTGCAAAAGAATAGAATGTTTAATGGTATAGTTCTTGAATAAGTTTGATTTTTTTTTTTAATAAATGATGACAAATAATATTTCAAATTTTGTTAATCATTTAACAAATTAAAACATAATTAGATAACTAAATACACAAAAGATTTAAACTTAAGATTTCATAATTTCATCAAATTTTTAGGATTTTTTGGTTATCACTTAACTAAGATTTTATAGATTAAAATATTGAATTTTTAATTCTAATGGTTAAGGTTCGATTTTTTACGATATCAAATTGCATCTACCTCACAAGCTTGTCATCTCTGATAGCAATTTCATTTAAAAAAAAAAAAGGATTATTTTTTATGGGAAAATAGAGAATACAAACTCAACTAATTAAATTGAAAATACATGCACTTTTCACCGAACTAATTATTCTGTAAAACTATGACGATTTAAATGCATATTTTCAAAAACTTTGATAGTGAATTCATGCTTTATAAAATTCTGTAGAAAATTCTATTTCTCACCCTTACTAATTAGGCTATATTTCAATCACAATTTACTTAAAATTTTTCCATGGATGTAGAAAATGCTAATCATATAAAAAATTGAAAATGCACTTTGGACAAGTTGTTAAAAGTTAAGAGAAAATAAGAAGCAAAGTATCACATTTTAACATTACATTACCAAACTATAAAACTCCCAAGTCCTTCTCCATACCTAAGATCTAGACGTGTTCTTTTTTCACCTTAATTTCAGTAAAAACAGTTGGAATTTACAACCATTTTTATAGGTGATCCGTTCTTAATGCCAGATTTCCTGTTTCAAAGGACAACCTCAACTCTTACCACAACGTGTCTTTAAAACCCACTAGTCTTTGTCCTCTCAATCTCGTTCACAAAAAACATTAACCATTAACAAAACCAACTTTCACCAGCACACGCAACAGTAAAAGGAAATGGCTGATGCAGAGAGGGCTGAGCTTGATCGCATTTTCAAGCGTTTCGATGCCAATGGGGATGGCAAAATCTCTGCAACAGAGCTCGGTGATGCATTGAAAACACTCGGCTCTGTCACGGCGGAGGAAGTTACAAGGATGATGTCTGAGATTGATACCGATGGCGATGGCTTCATTTCCTATGAGGAGTTCAATGATTTCGCCACTGCCAATCGCGGCCTAATGAAAGATGTTGCTAAAATTTTTTGATTTTCTATCTTTTCAGTGCTTCACTTGTTTGTGAAACTTTGATTTTCCGGATTATATCACAGGTTCAATCCCTCCAAAGGGTCCAGCAGGATTTTCTTTTTTCATGATAGAACTTGTTGGTAGTTAAACTGTAACCTCCTGTCTTTTAATTTGCTTTCAGTGTTTGCTTTCTTGCTTGTCAATTTTAACAACAGAAAGGTCCTTTTTTCTCCATTGGATGAGCTGGTTTTTTTGACAAGATTAACACAAGCAACCCATTGTTTGTTGATTAATCATATAATAAACTGATAACTGCTAAGTTTCCACATAAGCTCAAATGCAACAGGAAATTGTTTAACAACCGTATGCACGCATCACATGCATGTGTATGTCTGTACATGTGCGCGCGTGTGAATGCTTGCCCGTATAAATAAACAGTATTAGAGGTTCATGGTTCCCATCACAGAAGCTGCCTGCATATCTATACCATAAAAAATTTAGCCAAGTTGACCTAAATTTGGCCATTGTCTTGGTTGTGACAGCATAAATGATTCCTTTCTGATGCAACAAACCAAACTATCAACAATAGTTTACAAGCACTGCTAATCTATGAGTAAAGAAACACTGCATTGAACAAATTTACTCACTGTTAATGAAATTCACACATTATCTGACAATATACCTTAAAAGCTCAGTCTTCCTGTCACCAAGGAATTTGAAGCCAAAACTTGCCCTGTTCTTGTGCAAGTTAGCAAATGAAATTATGCAAAACTGCATAATTTCAAAACAATACTATCAACAATAAGGACACTTCAACAATCTTAATAGAACTCCGAACGCTAGATTTCCTAGGGAGGGCAGAGGCAGGGAATTGGGGCTTGTACACACAACCAGCTTTCATCAGTCTCCTTTTCCTATTTACACTTCAACACTTTTATTATTATTTTTTTTTCCATTCTAATGCCTAAATCTTTCTTGTCAAGCAAGCAACAAAGTAAATGGTGGGATGAAAAATCAGATAAATAAAAAGGTAGTCAGTTTCAACGACAATAAAGGTGATCATCATCCTCAAACTCTGAAACTCCTAGCATCGCCAAATCTAAGTGACTCTTCATCTCACTTTTTGAATGTTGCAATTGAGGATAACAATCAATAATTCCAGAGAAATTGGATTTCTTCCTGATTGAGTAAAATGGTTCTTCTTCACCTCTCAATATAGCAATAATTTCATCAATGACTGGTCTTCGTGATTCTTCATTGCTTATGCAGGCAGCTGCAGCTTGTATCATTCGTGCTATTTGAGTTGAATTTTTTGAAGTGCATTTGAGTCTTGGGTCAAGTAATTCTTCAACAGCTGCCATTCCTCTATGCAAGAGAGGTTTTGCCTGAAAATGAAAAGAAAATTCAAGATTACAATTTCAACTTTACATCCAATACCAAACTATTATCATGGAAAGGTATATGCTAAAGGTGAAACAAGTAATCTGTTGCAAACAGTTGCGATGTGCAAATCATATTGGAGTAAGTTAACTACAAAGGCCTGTGGGCATATCATGTTTAGGTTCCAAAGCATTGAATCCTTGGAGCACAAAAATCTGACAATGTCAATGAATGAACATAGAGTTGAGAAACTATGGAAAATGTAGAATACTAGTTGTTTATTGAAAATAATATGCTGCAAAATTTCCACAAATTCCATGGAGGGAAAAAAAATGGAAGTTCCATGAAAGAGCCATCTTACCACAAGAACACTTGTTTAAACGCCAAATATCTAACGATTAATGAGCAAATAGTCACTTTAACCCTACAAACCACTATCAGGAGAAGTTTCATTATCAAAGGTCATCATCCATAACTGGTTTAAGTATTTTCAGTAGTGTCAATTTGGATGTAAAGATAGGAACCCTCTTTGTTTTCGAGGGATGCTGTTAAGGGGACCATGCTTTCATCTTTCACAAAGTCAATACAAAGCATGGTAAGTTTTATAAGAAATTAGTACAATAACATACCCATAGGACCAAATTCTCTTCTCCTGGAGGCCTTCTTGCCTCAATTGGTTTCCGTCCAGTTATCAGCTCCAACAAGACGACCCCAAAAGCATAAACATCAGTTTTATCAGATACTTTGCCATGTTGGAAATACTCGGGAGCCAAATACCTACATACCAAATATGATTGAGGAAAATTCATCTTTATTGAGCATTTCATGGAGAAAAAATATATATTTTTGCCTCTCTAAGAAGTTGTTCTTGAAAGCATACCCAAATGTTCCTTTAACAGTTTTGCAAAGGAAGGGAATAGAGGGTGCAGAAGTCCAAGTTGCTAATCCAAAATCACACAACTGCAACTACCACAATTACAGAATCAGATAATCAATTGCAAAGAGACCAAACCGACTTTGATCCTGTTCCACTTAACAATTCAGACCCAGTTCCGTACCTTGGGTGTTTTCTTGGAAGAAAGAAGAATATTAGAGGGTTTAATGTCTCTATGAACAACACATCTTTCAGTTCCATTGTGTAAATATGCCACTGCCTCTGCAATTCCTAAGGCAACCTTGTACCTAAAAAACCAAGGAAGTGTAGAAGGACGTCGTCCCTTTCCTCCCTTCTTCTTATCTGCAAAATTGTATCTCCTAAATCATTCAAAGTGCATTACAAATCCAAACAAAATTCCCATAAGAAAACAAATAAAATCTTACCATGAAGATGGCGTTCTAAGCTTCCACCAGAGACAAACTTATACACCAAAAACAAACCTTCCTCAGGATCAATACAAAATCCCAAAAGAGGGACAATTTTTGGGTGATTCAAAGAACTAGCAATCATCAGTTCTCTGCAAAAGGCCTTAGCGGACTCCTTATCTTCTTTATCCAACCTCTTAATAGCCACAGCTGTCTTCAATAGCCCAACTCTACCCCTGAAAACAAAGCTTAATGCTCCTCTGCCCAAAACTCTCCCTACTCCATTCCAATAAAAACCAAATCAAAATCCCACCACAAAAACAAAAACCAACCAGAAATAAATAAAAATTCAAAAAGAAGCCAAATTCATTAAAGTTCATACCTTTAGAAAAATTTCTAGTAGCTGAAACAATTTCACCATAGTTGAATCTAACCAAAGAATTAGCCATTGGTGAAATACTTCTTTCCAAAGATTCAATCCTTCTCCATTTCAATTCTTTAGCTCTATCCTCACTTACCCCATTATCCAAATTCACCATCAAAACAGTAGCGGAACTCAATGAACTCGCATTCATAGCTTCTAATTCGACTTGAGAACAAAAACTAAACCTGAAAGATGAGTGAACTGATTGTGGGTCATTACTTGTCAACTCAGCTCCTCCACCTGACTCAGCCAACAACCAAGCCTTGTTATGCTCCAAATTGCTGCCTTTCTTTTCACCATTGCTTTTCTGGTTCTTTCTTGAACCTTTCCTTTGGCTACCGGAAAGAACACAAGCAAAACCAAAATCCGAAATCATTTTTGTTAAAAGAGATTTTATTTTCAACTCATTGTAGCCACTACAGTGATCTGTAGATGATGTAGAGGTAGCTGCATATAGAGCAGTGAAGCCATTTTTTGTAGTTCTAGAGTTGGTGCCAGGTTCTTCGTAAAAACCCATAGCCTTGAAACAGAAACAGATCTCAATGTAAGAGCACAGAAACCCAGAATCCAAAAGGAAAGAAAGAGAAAGTAATAAAAGAAAGGCTGAGTCTTTGAGAATAAAAAGAAAAAAGTGAAAGCTGCTTTGCTTGGAGAGTCGGGGAGGGAATTTGCACGGAAAAAGAAAGAAGAGTAAGAGATGGGTAACTAATATTTGGACATGGGGCAATGCAATGTAAACATAAACTACAGATAAAAAATAAATTTTTCCATGCAAAAACAATAGAATTTGAAGACTAACCTAATGGTAAGTTAGTGGGAGAAGGTGAAAAAGTAAAGATCAGCCAAAGAAGAATGGAGAACGTACGGGTAAAGATTAAAATTTCGATTTTTCAAGGGAAAATTTTAAGGAAAGTTAGAAATTTGCTTCTGTGATCCAATGAAAGATGTGTCCTCCAAACAAAAAATTGAGTTTGAGTGGATTGAGATCCTTTTTACTGATTTTTTTCCATAACTTTATGTATTCATAATCACTGACCATATTTGTAAGATTCAATTATTAATTATGAATCTCCTACTTATAAATGATAATAATGGAGATATTGAAAGGCAAGGGAGAATTAAGACTAGATTTGAATCTACTTTTAAAATTACAATTTTGACATATTTATACGTATAAGGATTAATATATAATTCGATCCTAAACTATATTATTTCTAACGATTTATTATTTATAAATAAAATAAAATAAAATAAACCATCCGAACTTTATTTTTATCAAACAATTTTATTAAAATTAAGTCACATGACATGATATAATTAATTTTTGTGCCTACATCAACTTACTGTGTAAAGAATTAATACGTGAGATAAAATGTTCGAAAAAAAAAAAAAAATGGATATTTAATTATGATTTTCTTTTACAAATACTAAATTATAAAAAGATAATATAATTTAAGAGCTAAATTACACGATAACCAAAAGAAAAGTTGAGATTCTGGTTGCCAAGACTAAAGTGGACGAAATGAAGCAACAGGGTAATGTTTTTTGGATGCCGACAAAAATAAACAAAAGAAAAGGAGGCGACACCAATTAAGGAAAAGGCAAAGCTTGTGGGATAAAAGGATTTTATTTTATTTTATTTTATTTTATTCAGAATGGAATATGGATTAAGAAATGATTAATGGGAAAATGAGAGAAAGAGAAGTGAAAGAGTGAATTACTATTATTGATTTTGTTAATAGGGACAAAGGGGAAGCTTGTGGGTTTGTGTATTAAAGTGGAGTTTTGAGACAAAGAACAATTGATTACCCACATAAATCATGTTTTACCAAAATTACATGTAGTTTGGCGACCATCCAAAGACCATCTAATCTCTTCCCAGCAACCACTTTTCTTTTCTTTTTTTTTTTTTTTATGACAGGTAGGCTTAGCTTAGCTTTGTCTTGAGCTTCCCTTTACCTAAATTTTGGAAAATAATGTTCAAACCCTTTTTTTTTTAATATGATGAAAAAAAATGCTAACTTACACCAAAATTCCTTATATTTGTAATTTGGGAACTTTCTTTTAAACACTTCCTGTTTGATAAATGCCTTTTTTTTTTGGCAAAAAATAAATAAAAAAGAAAATACTGAATGGAAAATCGAAGACAAATAGCACAAAGCAAAAGTATCAAGCAAATAAATTCTTAATAATTGTAAATGTGTTACTGGATTGCTTTTATATGTATGCATTTGAATTTTTTTTCCTAATTTAAGTAGATTATTTTCTTAAAAATGGAGTTATACAAAATCTTAATGATGACTTGTCATTTATAGTAATATTTTTCTATTAAATGTGGTAATTAACAATTAATATTATGAATTTTATTATATTAAAAAAATTACTTAATATAATAGTTCTAATAAAAATATCATTAAGGCACTGACTTAACAAATTCATAAAAAAAAAAACTTGTAAGTTGAAATTTGGAAAATATATAATTTGCCTTGACAATATTAAGGTAGGAGATTTAGGTGAGTTTAAAAAAGGTTAGATATCATTGTTGCAATAAATTTTAAGCTAAGATTGGGTGCAGCCAGAGAAGCAAGCATGCCAGTGGCTGATTATGAGAAGTGCATTTAATTTTTAGACAATCAGATTCAATGTATAACATTCAGTTCAATCTTGCCTTTGTCGACAAAGAATCTGATTGCATTGGATTCTCATTCCATTTGAATTATCTTGATACTTTTTTTTTTACTATTTTAAGTATATACCCTACTCTTAACGCCATCTCACCTACCTTCATAAATACACTCGAATTGGTGGATCTAAATGAATATTTATAAAGTGCTCATGAACATTTTAAAGAATGAAAAATTTTTAAAAAAAAAAATGAAAGAAAGTTTTTTCCACACTCTCAAAATTTTTCTCTAAACACCTTAAAAAACGAAAAATTAAAAAATTAAAAAAAATCCTGAACATCACAAAATATTTTGAAGACAATTTAAAAAAGTGAAAAATAAAAAAATTTAAAGAAAAATTTTTGTGAACACTTCAAAAGAAATTTCTAAATATCATTTTTGTTGATAAAATTTATAAATCTGTCCACATTTTTTTATACATATTGTAAATAAACATTCTAAAAAAAACCATCTATCACTGCACTTGAACCCAAATCAAAAACAACTTTCAGGTCCATTGCGGCTATTCATCACCTTATTAAAATGAAATTATTCTTTCTTATTTCATAAATTTTATCTTTAAAGTTCAAATCTAATCTTTCTATAAGAAAATCTAAGTATTAAGTTCCTAAAAAATCCTTTCCACTATTTAAAAAATAGTAACTATTTTTAATATTTTATCTACATGTGATTAATGTAGTTTTCACTAACTTTATGATTGAAATTTGTTCAAATTATTTTCTTAAATAAATTTTTATTTCTCTTCATTCTTAATTTAAAACTATTAAATATTTGAACCCTAAATTAATTTTAAGATGAATTAATCACCTTATGATAAAGTCATGAAAATTTCCATTATCCTTTTTAAATAGTGAGAGGATCTTTACCTATTAACTTTTAGGAAAAGATTTAGATGAAGTTTTTGGGTAAAATTTGTGAAGTTTCCTTTTAGAAACGATTTAATAAAAATTAAAATCAAAAAACAAAATCAATAAATTGAAATATTTCATTATATAGATTAAAAGTGCAAAATTTTGAAAAATTTTTAAAAATTTTGATATATATTTTTAGACAAATATTGTTAGTAAAAATATTAATAAAATTTTTGTTATTAAATAAGTATCGATCAAATTTGAATTATTAATAATATTTTTTATATTTTTTTATATATTATTGATCTCTATATTGAACTCTATTAATCTACCTCTTTAAATTTTTTATTAAACTTTTTATTAAATTATTTTTAAGAATGAACTTCACAAACTTCACCTAAAACACTTCATATAAATTTTGTCCTTAAATTTGTACTCTTGTCATTCTCTTAAAACTATATCTTGTTTTGATATTATTATTATTAGTGATCTACTTACGTTGGTATAAATTTTATATACTTTCTTAACTTTTGGATTAAAATTAAATATATAAAATTTACTTTTAATCATTTTGCTTTAAAAGTTTAAAAAAAGTGTAAGACATATTAGTATAAATGGATCCCTATTATTATTATTATTATTATTATTAAAGAAAAAAAAAAAAAAGAAAGGACCCATTAGGCTCTTGTTATTTTTCAATAAAATTTTACATTTCAAAAATTAAATTTTAACCATTAAAATACTTTTATAATAATAATAATAATAATAATAATAATAATAATAATAATAAAACTTAGCTCTTCTGTTATTATTCATTACAACCCATCTAAAGAATTTTATTTTTTTACGTTGATTAAATTTTCCCAAAAATTGAGGGTACAAGTGAAACAGAAAAATAACAAGGGAGAGGTCTGGCCTACTCTCGCAGCCATTCCTTAATTTAAGAGAACCATTGGTACCCCAAAGGAAGATCCCCAATTTAATAGTAAATTTGTGAATTGTTTGTGATACTTAATCTTAATCTAGTTTTGTTTTCTTCTTTTGTTTTTATTGAGAACAATTGTATGATTGTGGCGTTAATTATAAATTTCTTATTATACATAAAAAGATTCATTGGGTTTCAAGTAGAAATGTCTATTTATTGAATAGGATCAGGTTTAAATATATTATTAACACTTTACATGTTTAATTAATTTTGATCCCATCTTGTAATTGGATCTTAAATTTTGTTCAAACCCGTTAAATTAATAAATGATACAACATAAGCTTTTTCAAGTCCGTCCAAATAACTTTTCTAAAATAATAAAAAATTTAATCTTTAATTTTTTTGCTTTTTATTAAGGATTAAAACATTAATAATTTAATATATTTTTTAATGTTTATATTATAGTATTAAATATATTTATCTTTTATATAATATTGATTGACTTTTAAATTAATTGATATATAATTGAAATTGACGTTTAAAAATTATAAGTTCGAGAGAATTTTACATATAATATATGTTTCAATTAGATAAGTAGTAAGATAAAAAGTTTAAAAATAAATTAAAATTTTTAAAAAATTATATAATATAATATAATTATCTCATCAGGTCAGATTCAAATCTTAAATATTAGAATCAATGCTGACCAATTTTTTAAATGAGCCTCATATTTTTATTTAAATATGTTAATATTTTTGTTCAAACCCTCTAGATATTAAGCAGATCTTCTAAGTAGGACGAGTAGCCTTATTCTTGGACAAATTACATAAAAATAATGCAAACGTATATGATCTTAAGTGACAGGCGACAAAAAGAACAATTCAAAAGTATCTCCCATGCATAATTTATTTATAACAAAAATCAAGAAAGTGGAAAAAATATTAATAAAATAAAACATATCATACTTGTAATTGTACTCTAATAATAGAAAACTTTTTTCTAGAAAAAAAAGGTTAAGGTCTTGACAAAAAGATATATACTAGAATTAATGAAATAGAATCAAACCAAAGAAATCAGAACAAACATGTCAACATTAAACTTTAGTATTTGTTGGGTTTTTTATTCTTGTTTTCTTTCCTTTTTCTTGTTGTAGTTCACACCTTAGTTCATGCACTACGATGATCAATAATTTTCATGTGAAGAGACTAAATAATATTCATCTAAGCACACACATACAAAAAAAAAAAAACTACTATATATATATATATATATA